TCTGGGGGAGCTGGGGGGGGTCAGGGGGAGGGTCATGGTGGCACTGGAGGACCCTCAAGGGCTTTCCCAGCCGAGGTGACTCCCGGATTCTCCGCTCCACGTCTCGCCCCAGGCCGGTTCCCCAAGGCCTCGTCTAGCCGAGTGTTGGGGGATCCCCCACCTCTGGGGACGCCCCTCCCGGGGGCTGTCCCAAGGCAGTGTCACCCCGGACAGGAAGAGCTTTTCCTTACGCCCAGCCACCCCCTTGGCTGCCGATGCCACTGGAGACACCCCAGGGCAGCCTCTGGCACGAGGCGTTGGCCATCACTGGCCACCCCTGAGCGCCACCACGGACCGGCGGCCTTGCCCCATTTTTGGCAGCCAACGCTGGCCGAGGGGTGGCTGCCGGGGGCGCCGGGACCACCCGTCCCACCTGCGGCCGCTCACCCCCCGCCTCTGCCTCCCCCACAGGCTGAAGGACGCCTTCAGCTTCTTCTTGGAAGAGAACCACTTCCCCCCCGCCACCGTGGCCACCCTGACGGACGCCCTGGACCCCAACATTCCCGTCGGGAACATCCTCTCCGTCTGGAGGACGGCGGCGAAGACCAGCCAGATCACGGTGCCGGCCTACGGCCAGGAGCGGCCGGCCCAAGGCAGCCTCTCCACCGGCGGCTTGTCCCCGTGAGGAAACACCTACCCCGAAATCCCGGCTCGGGGCGGGGCAACACGAGATGCGCGGGGGCTCCTGGAGCTTCCGAACCCCCAGAATTCTGCCCTGGGGGAGAAGTTTCTCCCCTGGACCCACCACTGCCCCGTGGGAGTCCCGGAGCGTCCCCGTCACCCCACCCAAGCCACAGCAAGAGCTCGGAGAGCGTCTCCGTGGACGCGTGTCCGGCGCTGCCACCCCTGTCCTCGGCCAGCTCTGCCCCCCCCGCAGACCCCAAGGGGGGGGCCGAGGAGTTGGGGGCCCCTCCAGCACCCCAACGTTGGCCGAAGGGCGCTTCTGCGTGTCCCCGCATCCCTTGTCGGCGGCCTCTGTCCTGCCTCGCCCCTTCTCTCCCTTCCTGCACCATTAAATGCTCAAGAAGGAGCCATCTTGGTTTCGTGTCCTTCCCCAGATGGTGCCGGAGGGGACCCAAACAGTCACGGGGGCCACCAGCCCTCCTGGGGGGCCACCACGGGGCTCATGGCGCTTGTGGGGAGGGGGGTGGGCGTGGGCCTGGAGGCCTGAGCTCCCCCACGGTGGCCTCCACGGGTGGCCAAGGGCGACCCAGGTGGTGACACCATCCTGGGGGGACCAACAGCCGCCCCGCCCAGAGCTGGGGTGACCCGCGGGGGGGGCCCTTCCTCCGCCGCCTGGGGAAGGAGCGGCTCTTCCTCCTCAGACATGGGCGGGGCCCGCCACGGCTTCTCCAGGGAAGAGCTGCCTTATCAAAGGTAGACACGGCTTATCAAAGGTAGGCCTGGCTTGTCACAGAGATACCCAGCTTATCAAAAGTAGGCCCAGCTTATCAGGGATAGGCCTGGCTTCTCAAAGGTAGAGCAGGCTTCTCAAATGTAGAACAGCTTCTCAAAGGCAGGCCTGGCTTTTCAAAGGTAGGCCCAGCTTCTCAATGGTAGGCCTGGCTTTTCAAAGGTAAGCCTGGCTTCTCAAATGAAGGCCCGGCTTCTCAAAGGTAGATCCAGCTTCTCAAAGGTAGAGCTGGCTTCTCAAAGGTAGGCCCAGCTTATCAAAGCTAGGCCTGGCTTCTCAAAGGTAGACCCAGCTTCTCGAAGGTAGGCCTGGCTTATCAAAGGTATGCCTGGCTTCTCCAAGGTAGGCCTGGCTTTTCTCAAAGGTAGGCCCGGCTTCTCAAAGGGAGGTCCGGCTTTTCAATGGCAGGCCCAGCTTCTCAAAGCTAGGCCCAGCCTCTCAAAGGCAGACCCAGCTTCTCGAAGGTTGATCCACGACCAGGGAAGCCCAAACTTGGAGTCCAGCCCCAGGCAGGCAGCCGGGTGCTTCGGCCCCTTCATCATCCTCCCTGGCCTCTCCAGTCTGGGCCCAGCTCTTATCCTGGCAAGCCCAGCACTGGGCCCAGCCCTCCAGGCGTGGCCTCACCAGGCCAGAGGTGAAGGACCCCGCCTCCCTCCATCAGCCACCTCTGTAGCAAGGGCTCATGGGTCATGGTCACCTTGGTGTCCACCGGGAGCTTTTCTAGGCAGCGGCTTCCCGGCCTGGTGTCCCCATCGTGTCCTGGCACTGGGGGTTGTCCCTTGTCCCTCCCCAGGGGCAGAACTTTGTCCTTGGCCTGGGAGAAACCCCGGAGGTTCCATGGGGAGAATCCCAGGAGGTTCTACTATAACCCAGGAGGTTCCACCAGGAGAACCCCAGGAGGTTCTACTATAACCCCAGGAGAATCCCGGGAGGTTCTACTATAACCCCAGGAGGTTCAACCGGGAGAAACCCAGGAGGTTCTACTTTAACCCCAGGAGGTTCCACCAGGAGAACCCAAGGAGATTCAACCAGGAGAACCCAAGGAGGTTCTACTATAACCTCCAGAGGTCCAACCAGGAGAACCCCAGGAGGTTCTACTAGAACCCCAGGAGGTTCCACCGGGAGAACCCCAGGAGGTTCCACCAGGAGAACCCCAGGAGGTTCTACTATAACCCCCGGAGGTCCAACCAGGAGAGTCCCAGGAGGTTCTACTATAACCCCCGGAGGTCCAACCAGGAGAGCCCCAGGCTCCTCATGACACGTTTCCATCCTTCATGAGCCCGGGGATAGTTTCCAGGATTAGTTGCCCCACCACCTTCCTCCGGGAGGTCCCCGCTGCCCCACAACCGCTGCTCCTCGGCCTCCCTGGAGCAGCCGCTGCCGGGGGGGCGGAGCCCCCTAAAGAATTTCTCCAGACTGTGGGTATCTCTAGGCTGGCTTTAGTAACAGCTCAGCGTGGGGCCAACGCCTTGGGGCGTGACCAGAGCCCGCGGAGAGCGCCCTGATAGACAAGCGTCTTCGTGACGTTGTGTGGTGCGACACTTTTGGGCGTTGTCCCACAAACTCC